CTTTCACTGCTAAATTAGGGATGGCTAGCGCAGAAAGCTCTCGTGTAGGTTTGCGGGAAATTCAAAACAAACCGAACACATACTGTTTTTTTTAATAGTACCATATCGTGATCGCTTGAGTTATTTGCATACTTGTGATCATTGTGTGGTAATTTAAATACTGAGTCGTCCACAGTTGTTACACACAATGCTATGTAATATTTATCAGTTTAACCCTGTTTGCTGGAACATTTTAAAATTCACATGTAGTTCTTAAATATTATAGTCTTGACCTTTTGAGCTTTAATTCGGCACATAACATACCGCTGAGCCACCAAAGGGTGGGGGAGTATACAATTTTGAGTTTGTAAAACTTGTAACTTAGTTTATTTGTAATTAAAAATAACCTTTAAGTGCCTCGTTCAGGAACCTTTGATATTTTCAGGCAAATAAAAATTAATGTATTAGTACGTTTTGAATTGTTCCCTTCTAGCTCAGCGGTAAAATAGTGGACTTAAACGCTAAAATTCGGGGTTCGATACTTGCGGTGGCCAGAACGCAAATAGCCTATTGTGTTGCTTTGCGCTTAAAGGCAAATAAAAATTAATATATTAGTCCGTTTTGAATTGTGCCCTTCTAGCTCAGCGGTAAAATAGAGGACTTAAACGCTAAAATTCGGGGTTCGATACTTGCGGTGGCCATAACGCAAATAGCCTATTGTGTTGCTTTGCGCTTACAGGCAAACAAACAAAACCATTTCAAATTTTCCTGGCTGTCGTGAAAGACTTTCTTATGGAAGGTTTTCATCCCCACTGTATTTGGAGACGTATTAAGAAGTTAATTTCAAGCAGGTTTTGTACATTTGTTTGCTGGATTTCTACAGAAATACTCGAGGGCTGTCTGCGCTCGTCGTCCCTAATTTGAAGTCATATACTAGAAAAAGGGCAGCTAATAATCACCACCCACCGCCACCTTTCGGACTTCTCTTTAACAACAAATAGTGGAATTAAACGTCATATTATAACGCTACCACGGCGGAAATGGCGAGCATGTTTGATTATGGGTTTCGATACCGCGACCTGCCGATTGTGAGTCGACTGCCCTAACTACCAGGCCAGGTTTTCTAAAACTAAAATAAATATTTATATTTATTATTACTTCTGGTTTTTTAAGATATTAAAGTAACTTTATTGAAAAACACAAAAGCTTAACTTGTCTATTACTGCTGTTTTAATATAATTAACATAAATAAAAAATATTGTATTTAATGTTATTTTTACAATTATCATTTCCTGTGTTTTGGAATCCCTTTGGACAAATAAAGTTGAATTAAATCGTCAGGCGCCGCTAATATGTAAAGTCACCAAGGGCTCAACCTGTTGTTGAAAGTCCAATTTCAACTTAAGTTAATTTAAATAAAATTAGTTTCTAATTAAATGATAGGATTACTCTAAAATTTCTTTTTACAACTGCATTACGAAAAGAAAATGCAGCTTGTAGATCATGGATTTTTTTTCTGTTTGGGTAACTTGATTAATCTATTTGTCATTGTTAAATTGGTGTAAATGTCAATCTTATCAATTCTTATACTGTTTGCTGATAGAAGTAAACAAGCCTATAATTTGAAGTTAGTTATTTGTAAATAAGTGTTGCTTTTAATATCTTCAACGTATAATGCTGAGCATGTATAATCAATTGTTACGTTTACAGACTCCTAAAAAATTGTTAAATGTTTTAAGACTTTTAATCATTAAACCCCTTGCCATATTTACACATATGAATGATGTGTTTATAGGTAGAAACTGTGAACTAAACCTATTAGAGGACCGCTGTTCGGTTCCCGGTGTGTGTCGAGGTGGATCGCAGTGTGCAAATTTGATAGATGGGGGTTTCATTTGTGAAAATTGCACGCACTCCTCATGGAGCACAAGACTGTGTGAACTAAGAGCTCGGAGTTTTTCACGTGGATCATTTCTTACCTTTCCTGCTCTTCGTCAGCGCCACAGGCTGAACGTTAAGCTCAGGTAAGTCGGAGAAGAAAAAAAAAGAAAAAATAACTGAGGTTTCAATTTAGCGTTAAGTATGTAGTTAATATATTTCCTTCATAACTCTGTGACAGTAGATGTTTTTGTGACCTATCATAATGTGTGTAGGCCTGTCTGATTTTTTGGATTACCTGTCGTGTATATTTTCTGTGTAAATATAATGATATTTTTAGTATCATCTGTAGAGTCTAAGTATATCTTGTGACAAAATCCATACAAACATATACATAATTAAAACTGTGCAATCAATAAATATAGGCAGGAGAACGCTTTTCAGGCTCGACCAATCAGAGGCGAGGAAAACCGTGTAAGTGGAACTGGTCGTTTATCAAATTTAAGATAGCTATTAAAAAATAAACAACAACTTATTAAATATCATTTAAAGTGCATAATAAATAATGCCGTGATAGTCATTTTCGGAAACCAAAAAAAACCTAATTAATATTTGCTGAACTAATATGTGTATCCCACTCATATTTCGGGTAGATTCTTTGGAACAACATCGAAATACAAATTAACATAAAAATTGAGCAATAAATAAAGACCCTTTCGATGACAAGATACTAGATATTATTCAACTAACCAACAACAGCAAAAAACAAAACAACAACAATAAAAAACAGAAAAATTTCTTAAATCTGTAAAATCTGGTCGTCCATAAAATTCAATCAAGATCTAGTGTGGGGGGAGGGGAGGGAAGTTGGCCAACTCTGGCTGAAAGAAAATTGAACAGTAACATGGTTTTTGTTTGGTGGGGATACGCCATCACGTTCAAGATGCAAAATAAACATACAGTAATATTCGTATTTGGCTTATTGACAGTTTGGCTATAGTCAGGTTTTATAAGATGGTCAATGTTTTTGTGAATTTTCCTATTTGCTATGCCTAAACAACTATTTCTAATGGTGTTAAAATACATTTATTGAACATTTAGCATAGTAATTTGAAATTTATTTCAACATTTTATTTTTTTCAACATTCCAGATATCAGCCACCCAAAAGTGTAAGAATACATGTTACTCGTGTTTTACTTTTCTTAAATTTTCGAGATTTTAAAACTGACTGATATTGCACTTGCTAACTTGTATAGACATTTCTTCATCAAGGGGAGAGTATAGCTTTCTTCATTTTTAAATTTTGAGTCACAGTAAAAATGTTATATTTGAGTAGCTCAGTGTCACTTTAAAACTTTAAATAATTAAAATTAAATATTACTCACATTATATAGATATGTTTATTTTTAAATATGATTACTGTCGAGTTAAAATAGATAGGATACAAAAGAAAAAGAAACGTATTATTGTTTTTCAAACATTTCTCTTAATACTTAGTAACGCACAAAGTTCCTAATTTTAGTTTTATTCTTATTGTGTGCTGATAATATTTCTTTTTGTAGTTTTGCCACTCGTGAGAAAAACGCTTTGCTGCTTTACAACGGACGCTATAACGATAAACATGATTTTATTGCCCTTGAAATTATCGACTCACAAGTGGTTTTCACTTTTTGTCTGGGAATTAATATTTCACGAGTGTCAGCTGTGGTGTCAGGGGGCGTTAGCGATGGCAAATGGCATAAGGTGGAAGTTGCGTATTTGAATAGAGTGAGTGATTTTGTTTCAAAATACTTCTTTAAGAAAGTATATTTAGTTTTGCATTTCGTAAAATCAATATGTTATTAATAGTTTTCGGTTCATTAATATTTTTTATAGTAAGAGGTGAAGCATTGCGTTCTAATCTCGTATCGCTAATATAAATCACTTAGTTTATTCTGTGATGTGACTGAGCTAGATTTAGATTTATTTTTAATGATCAGGAAAGATCAAGAATGAAGAGCAAAAACAATTTTATGAATCAAAGTCATTGTAGTCATTAATGAAATATCTTTTCTGTTATGTCTCTCATCTCAATTATTTTTATGTAACAAACAGAGTAGTAATTATGCCAGAAAAATATAAATATATACGAGTGTTATTCACTTTTGTTTTTTAACAAACATCTATTTACAGACTGTTTCTCTTACTGTGGATGATTGTGACACTGCTTTGGCCATCAAGTCTGGAATAGAACTAGGAAACTATGCGTGTGCTAATAAAACTACTCAAATTCTAGAATCCAGGTAGTTTTCTCTCCTGCTAATGTTTGTGGTTAATAGTTACTAGATTTTTTAATATAATGTTGGTGAAGCTTATTATACAAACGTACTGTAGCTCAATAAAATAAAACCCTCTTATGTTTCTTTAGGAAACCAACATTGCCATTACCTCATAAATGTTTAATGTATCACAACATAAACTACCACCAAGGGCTCATTTTGTCTTCAAGGCCTCACCCTTTGTAGTATTGGGAATATGTTTATGAAATATTCAGTCTCATATATTTTACTTTTTTAAATAACATTAAAAACTCTTATTTTATATATTTCAAACTCCTAATATGTGTTCATAAAACTTTAGAACCAATGTGGAATTCACATTTTTTAAGGAACAACAGTCATGTGTAACTCTTTCTTTTTATTTTTACTTAGTTTTTCGAACTCAGTATTACTATTTTGAAATAAGGGTTGAATTTGTTCCTGCTTATGTTTTAAAAGTAATACTTACAGATGATGTTTTAATTTCTTAATATGTAGTGTGAGGCTTATAATTTGTAAACAAAAACATTATGAATGCTAATTTGTGTGCATTTTAAGTATTGGAAGGCCCTTCACGGCCAGGTGGATAAGGCGCTCGACTCGCAATCTGAGGGTCACGGGTTCGAATCCCCGTCCCACCGAACATGCTCGCCCTTTCAGCCGTGGGGGCGTTATAAAGTGACGGTCAATCCCACTATTCGTTGGTAAAAGAGTAGCCCAATAGTTGGCGGTGGGTGGTGATGACTAGCTGCCTTCCCTCTAGTCTTACATTGCTAAATTAAGGACAGCTAGCGCAGATAGCCCTCGTGTAGCTTTGCGCGAAATTCATAAATAAACAAACAAACAAACGTATTAGAATTCGCAATACATATTTAACAGTATACGCCATGTATGTTTCTAAATATAAATTTCATCTAAACAAATGTTGATATTCAAATAAATATATAATAACAAGTTCATTACAACTCCCTCCTTAGAGAATTAAAAATTGGCCTTAGACAATTATTAAATATGATATTATATATATATTGACAACATTACATTAAATATAACACATTATTCAAAAGATTACAAAACTTCAATAATAATTACAGAATAGAACACAACCAATACAAATCACCTAGTACATAGTACATGAAAATACATCGGCACAAATGTTATCAATCCTTATGACATGGATTACCTTCAAACCATATTCTCATACTGATAAACTGTAATTTAACTGCCTCATGTTGTTGTTTTTTTGTGTGTTGTCTTTTTTTCTTTCTTTCTCTCTTTCCTTTTTTTCTTCTTTTGATAAGATATCCCATAATGGGTAACAATACTAAGACCATGTCTTCAGGATGGAACTTACGTTCTTCAAAACCTGGGATAGGTTTCAAAAGAGCAACAGGAATTTTCTGGTTTGATTTTCCAACCAACTGACAGGTATGACAAGTTTTGCAAAACAGAGAAACGTCTTGCCTAATTTTTGGCCAAAAGAAATGTCTCATTATTTTGTTACATGTCTTGTTGACACCTAAATGACCTCCCATGGGAGTTCATGGGCAACTTTCAATATTTCAGAACGATATGCTTTGGGAACAACGATTTGATAAACAATACCCCAGTCCTCCGAAGCTGGCACATCTGGTGGTCTCCGTTTCCTCATAAGCACACCATTTTTGAAAAATAATCATTTGGAACTTTCTCCAGTTCATCCTTTGGGAGTGATCCCTCAACTTCCATCGTTGTCACTCACCGAGGTATTGTCAGTAGGACGATCATCCACAAGATCCCCGTCGGATCCCAAAAATGTCGTAGACAAATCTATAATATCGTCCACTGAATCCATGTCTATCACTTGTTTTTGACTTAATTTCTTAGCTTGAGCTCGAGTCACATCACACGAGGGAAACACATTGAGATTCTCTTCAATGACAGCATCATCCTTAGATGAAACAGTGATCAGCTCACTAACCATTTTAGGTTCGGCAACAACTTTTACCCCAGCCAAATCGTTTCTCAACAATAATGATACACCCTTAATTGGCAGATAGGTCTTACTCCAACTCCAACTGGTCCCGAAACTAGGTCTGATGCTAAATAAATTAACAAAGCCACCCT